GAGACTAACAAATTTATTAGCTTATGCTCTAATAAATTTGTTAGTCTCTAAGGTGCCACAAGTACTCCTGTTCTTTTCACTAACTTATATTCTCATTGGGTCTTCCAGTTGTTAGTGTGATTTAGAGAGGGGCTACCATCTGTTATGTTATTGTTACATTATTTAATATCTGCCAGTGTTGAGCCAAATCTGTCCTTAGTGTCACTCGAGCAAGTGTGGAGCTTCTCATGTGGGAGGAAGTCAAGATTTGGCCCGGACGCATTAATTAGATTGTGAGATCTTCTTGAGTAGTTGGAAGGCACTTAGAACATAGTGGATGCTACTATAAATAACCATAATAATGCTAAAAGTTCTATTAATCAGGTCTTGCTACATGGTGAATTAGTGCATGGCAAGCCAGGGTGTGACTCTACAGCACACCAGAGCCTGCCATGCACTGACTGCTGTACATCAATGTGCACTACGGAACTTTTACTGCACAGTAATAGGGGCCATGTGGCCAGTGAGTGTGCCGCAAGCTAGCACACTGTAGATCCGCAGCCTGGCTTGCCCCACGCTAACTCGCCACATAGACAAATACAAAGAAAAGGTCCTTGCCCCAAAGAGCTTACAAACATACAACTGAAAGTTGTGGCATGAAATGCAACTAATCGTTAGTCTTTTAAACGTTCCAAGCAGTGGGGCTGCCTCTTCTGTTGACTTTCAGTGGGACTTGTGCTCCTTAATCACTTTGAAAAATCCACTCCAGGATTTGAAGTGAAAGCAGTTTAACCCCCCCCTTAAAAGCCACTGAAAATCCCAGTTCATCACTCTGTATGGTAAGCAGCAGACTGCTCTAGCAGAGAGAATTCTCTGGGTCCAGTAGTACCGCTTTGGAAAGGGTTTTGCATATTCACTTTTTCTTAGCGTATGCGCAACGTGCCTAAAGTGGCACGTGACCAGGATTCATCACTGAATTTGGCCTGCTGGTTGGACAGCTACAAAAGTATCCTTCCTGGCTTGGACATTTACGGACAAATTTCAGGCTTCTGCATATTGCTCTGGACAAATAATGTCTACAGGGTTAAATTACCCCGTGCAGACACCTAGCATGAGGACCACATACTACTTTAGCTCTCTAAAATGGGGCTTAAGCGGGATGTAAGTGTTACATAGGCCTTGTGCAGAGGGGTCAATTTCAATCACAGAGCTTGTGCTAATAGGTGCTGCTACATTCAAGAGATTCATTGTGCAGCATTGGAATTTCTCACAGTACTGACAGCACCAAAACTGTTTACTATTAGTCCTAGTATCTCTTGGGCTTCCAGTGCCAATATATTAATCTTTGTGGCTAATTAGAAAAGTCCTGACCATATGGTTCACTCAGCTCATTCACAGCCTGACAGATACCATATACTGAGATGACTTTATTGTCAACGAAAGGAGTAGTTGCTCAGAGGATTTTCTTATGACAGCATTGCAGCACTGCAAAACCTTAGCCAATTCCAGCTCACTTCCATGGGAGCAGAATCAGACATGATGGTGAAAAGTAGGAGAGAACAAAGCTGAAAGGAGAGCTGGCTCTGAGGATGAAAGGCATGATCAAAAATCTTTATTTTAAATAAAGATCGGTTGCAGTGCTGTTCTGCCTCCTGTTGAATGGAGATCTTCAGAAAGTGGCTTTCCCAAGTACATGAGTGATGCACAGTGTGACGGGTTGGACCCCCCTTCCTGGGTGCCGCCTGATGTACTGGGGTTTCACTGAGCCTGCCTGCTCCACCAGCCTGGGCTCCCTTACACTGTCCTGCTGAGCCAGGCTCTCCAGCCTCCGCCAGCACACACAGGTAGGGACACACCCAGCAGCAGAATCACACAGAGTCTGCAATCAGCTCTGCAGGGGAAGACTCAGCTAGCAAATTGCCCAGCGCTCATGTGCACTCCTCCTTTGGAGAGTAAACCCCAAATTGTCTTGTCTTGCACTGCACAGAAAACTGTACAGCGTAGCTCATGAAATCTGCCCCCTCCCTCAGTGTGGGGGAAGAGATGCACAGGTTTTTACCCTCCCCCCCAGTTATGAATTGCACAAACTGGGTTTAAGAAAATAAAACAAGTTTATTAACTACAAAGAATAAATTTTAAGTGATTATAATGATAGCAAACAGATCAAAGCAAATTACTGAGCAAATAAAACAAACACGCAAACTAAGCTTAATACACTAAATTAACTGGTTAATAGTAGCAAATTCTCACTTTAAATGTTGTTTCAAGCAGGTTGCAGAGTTTCTCGAAGGTAAACTGCACTGCTTGCAGCTTAAATCTTCAGGGATTCCTTTCACAGGCTAGACCTTTCTCGCCTGGGCTCAGCCCCTGCCCTGCTCTCCCCCCCCCCG